TAACAGGGGTTGACCCAAGCCATGTGACTGAAATTGTTTAGACAGAACAGTTACGAGCCGTCGATAACTGTGATAGCACACTTATGTCCGACTCAAGACTTTTGCATCAAAATATTATTAGGGTCAGATGTTCGATAAATATCCATTGTCAACTGCTTTTTGCAGAGGTTCTGTTGAATTTATATATATATATATATATATATATATATATATATATATATATATATATATATATATATATATGTAAAATATATGGATATAGATCCGACAGTATGAAGAAAAATATATACGGAAAAAAACAAACAAAAATTCTTATATACAATTATGCTGTTTTAATGTTAACATGTCAACGTCGGACGTTTCGGTCTAATAAACTATCTTCAGGACATATTCATAAATTATAACATTATCAATACAACATGACAAAGACGATGTACATAAGAACAAGACTTATCCAAACAGATAACTGAAAGTTTTATAAGATCAGCGCTCCGTTTAAAACATGGTCACGTTGTAATGTTATAATTTATGAATATGTCCTGAAGATGCTTTATTAGACCGAAACGTCCGACGTTGACATATTAACATTAAAACAGCATAATTGTATATATAAGGATTTTTGTTTGTTTTTTTCCGTATATATTTTTTTTCATATATATATATGTAAATTACGTTGATATATATATATATATATATATATATATATATATATATATATATATATAAAATAAAAATACGTTGAAATCACGGAATTTTCACGTCTTTTTTTTATTGTAACACATATATATATATATATATATATATATATATATATATATATAATGGACTCTCCTGTCGGTTTCGACGTATGAGGATCTGCCAGCTTATTGATTCAGTTATGAAAGTTTATGCGATAATGTTAAGTGGCATTTAAGACCGGCTAGGGATTTACAAAGGAGGCCACATATGGAGCAAGTGTGAGGATTGTGAGATGTGATCACTATTAGATTGGCTGACATTTTAGATCTCGCTTCTTGAAAATGATACAGACAAGCAGATTGAAAATTGTTGAGTCCACTAAAACACGTTGATCTCCATTCTACTCACCCCAAAGCTAAGCGCTCAAGGGTGTTATGTGATATATTGACTGCTGGCAAGTTGCTTTTCGGCTTGTTTTTGTATCTTATCCATGGGCGTCCTACATTCCTGTAGCCCTGATCTGACTGGCTGTACATTAGGATCTTGGGTATCCTGTCATCAGACATTCTCAAGACATGACCATTCCACCGTGTGTATATATATATATATATATATATATATATATATATATATATATATATATATATATATATATATATATATATATATATATATATGCAGGTTTCATTAAATAATATATACAAGTTTTGTCTATTTATTTTAAGTAAGTTCCTTTTATATTGTCTGATAAGCTTAATAACATTATCATTGAAAGACGAAAATAAATCACCCAATTGATACATATTTTAATCCTATCTAAGCTTTCGGTTTACATAAGCCATTCTCAAAGATGACAATTACATATGAATATATCAAACAATACACAGACGAACCAATAATGATAGTCTGTTTTTGTTGCATGAAAAATTTCAAAGCAACGACAAACTCGTGTATATGAGACGCAGAAGAGAAAATAGCATCGCAGCTCGTGACGTCAACCATGACCACGCGAGAGTGAAAACGAGAAGTATTAAGTATTATCAGACAATATGAAAGGAACTTACTTAAATATACAAAACTTGTCTATATTATTTAATGAAACATGCATCAATGAAAAATTGCTGCCTAAATATACACAATATATATATATTTTATTAAAGACATTTTTATGTTTAACGTTCTTATTTATAGATACAAGTATTTAAGTAACTGCTCTGTTTATAATAAACAGTATTAAATAACATTTACCGGCCTGAATGTCCGAGAAATTTTCATAGAAAATATTCGTCCTTTGACAGGATTCGAAAATTTCTCGGACATTCAGGCCGGTAATGTTATTTAATACTGTTTATTATAAACAGAGCAGTTACTTAAATACTTGTATCTATAAATAAGAACGTTAAACATAAAAATGTCTTTAATTAAATAAATTGTCAGACTTTGTCCATTTCTTAATATATATATATATATATATATATATATATATATATATATATATATATATATATATATATATATATGATACAACAAACAAAGATGTGAAAATTCCGTGAATTCAACGCATTTTTCAGGTCAAGAGAACCTCTGTAAAAAAACGGTCAGTTGACAATAAATCTTTATCAAACATCTGGCCCTAATAATAATTTGATGCAAATATCTTGAGTCGGACAATTGTATAAGTGTATACATATATGAATACATATTTACATACTATTTGAAGTTATGCAAATTCCATAAACCGCAGTATTTCGAATTTTCTTTGAACAATTTCGATCAAATTTTAAATGATTAATTTAATTGTTAATACAAAGCTGGAGTGAAACGTTTATGTAGTTTTATTAAAGTTAATGGATTTATTATAAAATCTGCAGTCTGAAATTATTATGCAAAAATCGCTTTTACTTCAATAACAAGGTAATAAAATCATCAACAATTGATCAACACTTACAAGTGAGCAACTAACAAACATATATGATAAGCCTTTGATTTTTTTTCTTCAGCAGGTTCAATTTCAGATAGGGTGCTATTAACTCCTTCCCATGGACCTGCTTTGATGTTATATTCTTTGCCACTTTCATCATTTCATCTTCACAATTGATCATAGGTTTTAGATCAACACTTCATGGTCGCCATTACATTATCTTCTCTTCTCTAAACTTGTTACATTCAAAAAATTCATGGGTAACCTCGGATACATGAGAAGGATCATTGTCATGCATAAATAGCCACTTCACTTTGAAACTTATCATCCAGTACCTTTAACTGCCTATTACTCGAGTGGGTCTAAAACTGACCGCATAGTGAAAGAAAGAAAACTAAAGCGGTTGTTTCAATTAATTTGCACAAGGGTGTAAATTTCAATACTTGGAATTTGCTTTGAACAATTGTGGATGTCTAAAAAAAATATTGAGTGAAACGTTTATGTTGGGGTTTTTTAAAGTTAATAGACTTATTATAAAATCTGTAGTCTGAAGTTATGCAAAAATGATGCAATTTTTATATCAATAACAAGTAAATATACAATTACCCAACCCCTACAAAAGAAAAAACTAACAAACAAATATGATAAGCCTTTGATTTTGTTACTTCAGCCGGTTCAATTCCCGATAGGGTAGGGTTAATTGCTTCCCATGGACCTGTTTTGGTGTCAATTTTTTTCCCGCGAAAATTACTTTAGAAAAGTCAGTTTTCATGTATTTCTTGGCCCAGTTTGAGTTTTTAAAATATTCGCTTGCCTCGGAAAATTCGTGACAGATCCCGATTTGCGAAATATTCTACACTATTTGTCTTTCGTGACTCCTTCAATTCCAGCCTGTTCAAAGATCTAAGCACTGGTCAAAAGTGGCTGTTTCTCTATAACTCACTTTACTTACCCTCGACGAGACAAGTTCTTAAAACCTTTTCCTTTGCTTCTAATTCCTAACTTAAGTATATATCAACAGCCCTCTTAATTGTTCGATTATATCTGCAAAGTTCCTTTGATATTTCCCATAAGGACATTCCCTCAGTGAATAATGCTCTTATTTTCTGTTTTTTTCTGTGGTTTTTTTTTTTTTTTGCATTTGTTAAATTTTTTCCATTGCCCATGTTGCAATATATGTGATGGAAAAAATGAAAAAATAAGTTTTTAATAATTTCAGGAGTTTTAAACTAAAGTTAGGATGCTTGTCCCCGTTGGTAGTTGCATAATTAAAAGAAAAAAATACTTGTAGTTCCAATAAATGACTTATTTTTATGGAAATGCCATTACAGAAGAGACTTCGACCATCCGCAAATAAAATTGACGAACCAAAAGGATTTCAATCAAAGAAGAATATCCGAACTAATGGTAATAGAAAATTACAAAAAATGCCTGCAATAGGATAGATGCAGCACAACTGTATACTGTCTGGACATCTCTGGTCAAAAGGAAAATATGATATGACAAAAAAAGACAATTTATATAGTAAAAGAGAAAAAATCATTTTTTTTTTTACGCCTCAACTTGCTATTAAGTTGTAAACGTCATCAACTCGTTTTGTTTTCCTTAATTTGAATTCTTAAGCGTTTCGAACTTCTTTGTACTGATTTTACTCAAATTAAGTAGTGACCAAGACTGGCAACTGCTAAGTCGAAATATTTCCATAAAAATAAATCATTCGTTAAAACTGCAAGTTTTTTTCTTTTAATTAATTTTAAACTAATTTGAATTTAATGTGCATAATAAATTCGTCTAGTTCATTTTCATAAATACCAAAAATATCTCAAAATGTAATTATTAAAATAACTAAAAATTTATTTCGAAATTTTACCAAAGGTGGAAATAGACTCGCTTAAATTTGTCAAATAGTGTTTCTGGACTTTTACGGTTATTGAAGTTTATGATTTAGCTTTTGACGATATGTGTGACTATGTGCGTGTGTTTGTGTGTATGTGTGTGCGCGGGCGCCCGGGTGTATATGTGTGTGTGGGGAGTATAAGCATTTTAGGATTTGGATGGATACTCTGGTTGCTTAATTTCTACGCTGAAATTACTAGTCAAGTAGCTTAAATAGTTACTGTTTTTTTTTTATATTTGTATCAAATAAATAGAAAGGACATTTCAGTGAAATTAAAACTAGTAGAATTTGTTGAATACAATATAAAATAACGTATTTACTAACTCTTATTGTTTTATTTTCCGTTTTCTTTTTTCTTTGTTTTAATGCTTAAGCCACACTGGTTTCAGGGTTTAAGATATAGTTAAATTTTCTCTTCATATTTAATAAGCGTTATTTTTAGTGACTACATGTGTTTCAATTTTATTCCGCTTTACTGGTACTCCTATGAATCTAGCCTAAGGCCACATCACTTTAAAACACCGGCTTACGTGTGATCACCGAAGTTAAGCAACGTTGAGCCTGGTCAATACCTAGATGGAGGACCGCTTGGGAATATCCGACATTATTTCTTATTATATACGTTATTTTTAGCGGGTCCAAGTGTTTCAGTTATTTAACCCATTTTGGTTTTTTGTTGTTTTTTCAAACGGTGGAATTATTAACCACCAGACTAGATCGAGAGGCCCTACGAAAGAACATGTCCTCTCTAGATGAAGCGAATCTGTATCCCTTTTTTTAATCAGAGAAACGAAATCCTATAAAAGCCGACGTACCGTTGCCAGTTTAGCCACACCCGGCCATCTTGCTAATGGACTCACGTGCAATTGCTTAAAACTGTTTATTGCATTGTGGCTTGAAAATGGCACAGTGGATAAAGGCGTTGGTTAGATCCAGTGACAGGACCCAAACAGTGTGAGTTCAATACCTGGTTAAGGCAGTGGAGAACTTTCAGAGGGAAATTAGCAGGAGATAACTGACATCCATCAAACATGGCACGTGGAACTAGAACAGTGAGCGAAATAAAGGGTTCAGTTCGACATTCCAACCATCTGAAGAAGGCCGGAGCGTACAACGGCCGAAACGTTGTGATAAATATGGCGACAAAGATGAGAACAATAGTCCGAATAATGTAAATAATGAATTATAAAATATTCCAAAATGATTAACTCTTCATCTTCGAACATCAAGTTGATTAAACATAATTACGTCTACTAGCAAAAACCAAATAATATACCATTAATAATGAGTAAGACTGAAGTAAACTTTGCAGAGCTGATTTGTGTCTGCAGTTTTCGATAGCGAATTCTATCTTTATGTCATCTTTTTAGTCCTTCTCTTGTCGAATTACTCTTTATCAGCAAACTTCTTTTTAATTAAGAACAGTTATACATCATCCAAGGACATTAGATGATTCACTTTTCCTGGCGTGTTTACGAATTGGCAATTTTTATTAAAATTTTTCATAATTAGATTCAGTTTATATTAGAAAGTAAAGTAATTTTATTTTATTCATTTTGAATTTTGTAAAAATATTTTCATGTTTCGTTAGATAAATTCCACATTAGCAAAATAAAAAAAAATATATAGTCAATTTGTTTCATTTTGAATGCGGAATAAATGTGTTATATCACATGCTGTTGGGATGAAAAACAAAATGCTGTGATGACTGAGACTAGATAATTCATCATAATGATCAATTGTATCAGTTCAATTGTATTTTATAGAAAAATTGTAATCTAACATTATAATAGCCCATCTTTGCAGACAGTATGATGTATACGATGTGACGCCATTTTTTAGATTAAAAAATATTAAAAAGAGGCTTGTGATCTGTGATGCAGCATTTTTTGGAACCTTTTAATAGCAAAGACTATTGCTAACGCTTCTTCTTCAAATTGGCTATAGTTACGCTCTACAGGTGTCAGTGATCTTGATGCGTATGCTATTGCGTTTTGGCGGCCATCATGAAAAATGTGTAAAATGACAGCTCTAGTACCATAACGAGAAACATCAACGACTACAGCATTATCTATGGTTGGGTTGTAGTGTGTCAGCAGAAGGACTTTATTTTTTGAAGTCTGCCTGGCATGTGTCACACCACTTCCATTCGAAAGATTGTTGAGGGGTGCACAAACTCTATGAAGTTCAGGCAAAAAAGCACTATCGTGGCTAACTAAGTCAAAGAAGTTTGTTGCATTTGTCGGTGCTGGCATGCTTTTTATTGCCGAGAAAATAAAAATTGCCCGTAAAATAAATGCAAACAAGCTACGGAGTTCGGATGTGTATACGAAAAAAGATTATGCCGACTTATACTTAAAAAACAGGAAGAGAGAGAGAGAGAGTTGGTTTGGCTTGTTTTGTTTTTGTTGTGAGACCGTAACATACCTACAACATGGACTCTTTCAGGACTATATAAAGTATGCGATATAATACTCTAGGGGAAGAAGAGAGACAGAGACAGAGAGTCAGAGACAGAGAGACAGAGAGAGAGTATTCATTCTAATACCGTAGTATCAGCCGCGTACGGCTACCAATATTGGACACTAGCACATAGTAAGCTCCGCTTACACTTACACTATCTTTGTAACCTTTTTGTTTAATATATCTTTCTTACCTCTAACCCGTGTTCCGTGTTTTCCTTTCGGGGTCCCAACTTTGGGTCCACATCAATTTTGTGAATGCAATACCAGGTCACAGCATTGGTGAACCAAAACTGATTTTTCAACAAGATGGGGCACCTCCCCATTATGCTTTGGCAGTAAGGGACTACATTGACCAAACCATCCCTCCACGTTGGATTGGTGTCGAATAAAGATAAAATAATTTATTATTTCTAAATTCTTATAACTGTTGCGTACATAGGACCCTGAAGGTAAAAGGTTGAAGGCCCCAAAGCCCTTAGAAGTCAAAAGTCTAAAATCCGATCGAAGGGCGGCTTCTAGGCATGTGTTAAACTATTTCTTTCTCTGAAAACTTCACTGAGTTCTTCCACTGAAGATAAAATCCGTTGCCTTCTTTGGTAAAATATAATTCCTCTAATGGTTCTGTTCCTTAGTGACCATTTAACGAATTAGGAGAATTTTTCATCTTTGTGAGAAAAATCTCTGTGAACGTTATCCACCCAAGGTTTAAACCACAAAGTGAATGTTTTCCCCGACCCGCTGAGTCATAGTGAAATTTTGTTCTGTTATTTAACAGGACATTCACTGGATTTTTGTTTTGGTTTGCTCTAGAGCGGAAAATTTCGAATTGATTCTGGAACTATGCAGTCATTGCTCTCAGCCACTGTTATGACTTCTGAAACTGATCTTGCTATTGATGTAAAATCTCTTTATGCATCTCTGGTGAAATTGCCAGGTTGATTTTGAAATTCGAGTCCTTGTCGTCAACACTTCGTTATATCCCAGGTTTTTGGGATGAACAATGACAGACAAGTGTATATTAACACATAATAAAACAACTTTTATTCATTCACTGCCTGAAAACAGCAAAGAATTGTTTGGATTGAAACCATGAATCTCAGCTTGTCACTAAGTTTAATTCAGAAATGTCGTATTTTGAGTTTAGTCATTTATAGGGAAATTAAATCAGTTTCTTCTAACAATATCAGAAGAAAAATTATTTTATTCACGTTGTATAATAAATAAATAAAATCACAAGTAGATTGTAAATTTTACTTTATAGATAATATCTTGATTTTTCATCTAAATGACGCCTGATCTTGCAAAATTGATGCCCCGGGACGTAAGAAGCGTAAGATAGACATGTTCTTGCTCTAAAATGTTAAATGATTCCCAGATAGATTTGGTTCAGTCCCACATCAAAAGTTATTTTCTAAACGAGTTAATTCATGATACTTTGTAAAGTAAACAAATCTTTTTTTTTGAAACATCACATCCTCGGGAGAATGAATTAAAAAATAATTTTAAAAAATAATTAAAATTAATTTTTACTGTAATAGACTGAAATAAGGGCATTAACTGTTAGACAGACCTAAGCAGATGGCCTGGATTAGATGTTTTATTTAAATTGCAAAATACCAACAATTTTAATTGTGTAATCTATTATTATTATTGTTTTAATTTTGCTTTGATTTCTGGGGTTTACACATTTCTTTCCGGATCCTGCCGAGGGACCTAAGGTTAGAAATGGCGTCATGACACTTCCCACTGGCAAAAAAAAAAAAAAAAAAACATAGATAAAGCCCTTCGTAAAGTGTAGGTTGTACTTGTCAGAACATTTTTTGTATCTCCTTGAGGCATGGACTTCTAGGAATCTCTTCAATTAGTCTACTGCAATCTTTTCCAACCAATCCTAGGGCTCCAACTACAACAGGGATTGTTGATGCTCCCATATGCCACATTTTCGGGATTTCTATTTCAAGGTCCTTGTATTTTGACAGCTTTTTGAATATCGTCAAAGATACATTGCAGTCAGCAGGGACTGCCATATCAATAAGGAGGCACATTTTTGTTTGTGGTCTTTAATAACAATATCTGGGCGGTTGACTTTGATTGTTCTGTCAGTGTGTATTGTGTAGTCCCATAGAATTGTAACTGGTCCTATCTCCGTAACCGGGTCTGGGTGGTGTTCATACCAGTTTCTTTCAGTTTCCTTCCCGTAGAAGTTGCAGATTTTCCAGTGCAGATATTGGCCCACTCTGTTATGCCGGGTTTTATATTCAGTGGGTGCAACCTGATACAAGATGATCAATCGTTTCTGGATATTTATCACAGAATCTGCATTTTGGGCTGACAAAATATTTCAGTATATGTGCTTGATAATTCCTAGTTAACAAGCATTGGTCCTGTGCATCAAGGATAAAACCTTCATTTTCAGCTTTCAACCCTGCATTACGTAGCCACTGATGGGTACGGGTTTTGTCTACGTCAGTTTGTTTGGTACGGGCAGAGTATTGGCCATGAAGCGGTTTATCTTGCCATCGCTTCTGTATCTGGTCGGTTGCATTCGTCTTTGAATGTCTTTTTTAAGTATTTTCCAGTTTCAGCCGGTGTATTGTGCTGTGCTTGCATCTCTACGCCCATTTGAAACTCCATTTTGAATTTGTTGGCTTCTTTTATTACGGAGTAAAGACGCTTACTACTTTCATGTTCCTTAACGCATACCATCATCCAGTCTTCTGTAGTTTCCAAGTATTTTTGGAGGCCAGTTGTTGTAGTTTTGTAGGACAGTTCTAATTGAACTAATCCTCTGCCTCCTTTGGATCTGGGCACATACAGACGATCAACATCAGCTTTGGGATGATGCATGCGATAGCAAGTGAGAAGCTTTCTCGTTTTGGCGTCCATTCGCTTAATTTCAGCTATGGTCCAGTTAAGGACATTAAAGCTGTATTGCACCACAGAGACAGCCAAATTGTTTATGGCTGATACTCTGTTTTTTAAGTTTAGCTCAGTATTTATTACCAGACGTACACGCCTGTAGTACTCTTTTCTTATTTTTTCCTTCATTTGGGGGTGTTGTATGCCATTTCCTTCGCTAATTCCTAGGTACTTATAAGCTTCATCATGCTCCAGTTCCCTAATCTTTGTGACAA